ATTTTGGTGCCCCACTTCATACTGTGTAAATGCATGAAATCCCCTTGCAAAATTCCTTTTAAAATAAGTTTTCCGAGATGTGAGAGATTGCATGCCAGGTGCCAGGAGGGGAGTATAAACTTGGCCTACAGCTAACAATTTTTGCCTGAACCTAAACAGAACAATCCAGACACAGAAAGAAGGCAGAGGTGCTCACCCATGTCTAGAAAAACAAATGCTGTCAGCAACCTTCTGCTGCTTCTTGAGCAGTTGTCAGGGTTGCTTCCACGTAGGGATTTCTGCCCTGTGCCTGGCTGGATGCCCACGGTTTTTGCAGGAACTTCCACACAACATTATGCTTATTCTAAGCATGACTTGTGGGACTCTTGTACTTTCCTCATTTGCGCTGGAGCAAAAACCCCCACTGCTTTATACACAAAGGGGAAACTGCAGGATGGTTGTGGGAAGAGCAACGGTGTGGATGCTGTTTCTGTAACACAGCTGGGTGGGGGCAAAGCTAAACTTGGCCTTCAAAATGGCAGAGCTAGGCTCCACGCCCACCCTCCAGACCATTTAATGGGCTTTGTTTCCTTCTCGGCTGTGTCACAGTGCAGCCGTGAAGGGGGAAGATGGATTCTGACTTAAGACTTCACTACGTTCATTTCTGGTCCCTTGCACTGACCTGTCAGAAAGCCAAGAGAAAGAATTAATAAATGCCCACTTCTGACATACACCCCCCACCCCCCGTGAAGCTAGCACAGGAGCGCGCCTTGACTATCCAGCCAGCGAATCAAGGTCACCCTCTGCTCCCCAACATGCTTTTCTGGTCCTAATATACGTCCCTTAATTTGATCTTTTGTTAAGTATACACAACGATAATAGTCTAATTGGTATTCACGCTAACTCAAATTATAGGTCTGAATGCAGCGTGTGGCTGCTTATGCCAACACCAATATTATTTATGCACTGTTTAAAAGAAAATAAGGAACTATTGATTTTTGTACAATAGAGTGAATACTGGCAGTGACCCTGACATTTGCATTAGATTGCCTTATTTTTTTTAAAAAAAAATACAGTTGAGAATGCCAAAGAGAAATTCCTTCCACAATCATTTCATCCAATTCTAAAGGGGAAAAGGCAATAAGCAATTCTCCAGCTCTTTGTATTGAAAAAGATTTATTAACTGTAATGCTGATAAATTCGTTTCCTGGTGAGAAATGTTACAGTGGTCTAAATGTCTTCCTGATCTAGTTTTCATACAACAATTAAACATCCTGAGGTGAAAAGTATTTATGGAGAAGTTGTTCAGTTGCCACTAAGTACTCCCCACTGTGTTTGCCCGCTAGTTGGATATGGTCAAAACAGCAGACCATGTGTTATTGTATTGTCCTTTGTACATGAGCCTTGAATGTCTCTACATAACGCCAATGACCAGGGGTCCCCAACGTGGTAGCTGTGGCGGCCATGGCACACACCCCAAGTGCCTTGAGAAATGGGTGAAGCTTTTGTCAAACAAGGCTTCTGATCGACTACTGGAGATTTGACTGGCTGTGCTGATTTTTTAGAATGTTGCCTTGGCAACAGCTGCTGCCGCAGCACAGGACTCTACACTGTGTGACTGAAGTTAAGCTGTGGGCAATAATTTTGTGGTTGGTTCTCTGCCTCCTGCCATTTTGTGGCAGCCATTTTGTTGATACCATGCCGTGTCAGAATTCCAAATGTGCCCCCTGGCTTAAAAAGCTTGGGGGGACCCCTGCCCTAATCTTATAAAATTTTCCAAGGAAATCTGATGAATTTTATGTTTCCCTCCTCCTTCCAGATGGCTGTACTGACACCACCTTTAAGGTGGCCAAATTTTGCACCTTGGCATGTTCAACAAGGAAGCACCTGCTGAGTCTTTTTATTAATCTTGTACTATTGAAATCTGCCTATTATGTGGCTTCAAAATTCTATTGTATGTAGATGTGCTGGTGACTCTGTGTGTCAATCTTGGCTGAGCTATGATCATAACAAAGATGGACCGAATTGCCATCAAGTAAGCCATCCTCATATCGACCCTCCACGATGTCACCCTGTAACAAAACTATGTGTATTTGCAGTCATGGGAAAGATTCCATTTTCACACCTTACCACCACTGTGTAATATTCTCAGTGCTATGTAGCTTCTGAGAAAGAGTGTCATTTCATATTTATTTAAAATGGTAAAATGTGGGCTACAGGCCGGCAACGGCAAACGACCTCTGAATGTCTCTTGCCTTGAAAAGCCCACGAAGTCGCCATCAGTCAGCTGTGACTTAACAGCACTTTCCGCCTCCAAAATGTGTGCCAGTTGAACTACAGGAGCAGCCCGACTGTTGGGGGGAAATACTCCATCCTATTACACAGCCTGTCCCTGTCAGTTGCCATCCCATTATACAAGCTTCCATATATCGTGACTGTAGAACTGGGCAAACGTATGTAAGTGTATTTTAATGTGTTCATTTCCAGCCAATCTAGCCCAATTCCATCAGATCTCGGAAGCTAAGGGGGGGTCGGCCTTGGCTAGTATTTGGATGGGTGGCCTCCAAGGAATACCAGGGTCGTGACGGAGAGGCAAGCAATGGCAAACCACCTCTGAAACGTCTCTTGCCCTAAAAAAAAGTCTAGATCACCACCTAGTGGTGCATAACACTAAAAGAGCTTGAATTTCTGGCTGCCAGACAATCTTAGGATCTCCTGGCTATTCTACACACAATGCCATACAATAATTATTAATAAGGAAGGTGGGGAACATCTGGCTAGCAGCAAGATCAGGGTGTAGTTTGTTTCTCCGTTTGCAGGTATTTAGCCTGAGCTCACAGGCCAAGGCCATAAAGTGAGATGGAACATCGGATCCAGTACCCAAGATCTGGAATAGTCTTGTTTATTTGTTTGGCTCTGTCTATTTAAATTGCATTTTTGTAAGCCATTTTGGGTTCATGCTGGGGAGAGAAATGGCATAAAAGCATGTAAATAAATTTTAAAATCAAGATGCACAACATCTTCAAATTGCATAGCAGTCACTCCAGTTCCCTTCATAAGGCAGCTAGCCCTTTTGTGTCCCCAGTGGGTGGTTGGGTTGCCAACCCCCAGGTTGAGGTGGGGGTTCCCCTGCTTTTGGAGGCTCCAATCCACCACCAGCCAGCTGGCTGGTGGGGAAGCCCCACCCCCAAGCCACGGCCACTCATGGCCACCCCTCTCCCTCCCCTCCTGGGAGATTTAAAGGGCTTTAGCTGATCAGCGAGGAGCATGTGGCCCGCCAATCAGCTGGAGGGCTCTTTAAATCTTTCAGGAAGGGAGGGAGAGGGGCTGTCGCCAGCCGTAGCTCCCCTCGCAAAAAGACCCTTTTTGCAAGTGGGGTGGGGGCTGCCGCACACCGGGCTGGGAAAGCCAAAGAGCAAGGTCTACTCCTTCTCTTCTCTTCCCTTTTCTTTTTCTTAAAAAATGGCACTAAAATATTGATATATCACAGGAGCATTGTAACAATAGGCTTAGGAGGTTCTCTGAATTCCCACCTTTCATTTAAACAAAGAAAGGAAGTCTCCATCCCCTCCCTTGCAGAGATATAAAGAAAATGCATTTCTCTGCAAGGGAAAGAGAGAGAGACTTCCTAAGTTTATTGTCATAACGTTCCAGTCATGTACCAATATTTTAGTGCCTTTTAAAAAGGGGTTGCTGTGACAAATGCTCCCTCTAAGCTGAGGAGTCTTGTGAGCAAAAATTCTACTTTGTGAGCTACTGGTATTAAAGTTGTGAGCGAGCGATTTGGCTGTGGCATAAATTAGTTTGCTCTGGAGCCATCCTTCCTGAGCTAAAGAAGAAGAAGAGATTGGATTTATGCCCCGCCCTTCACTACCCAAAGGTGTCTCAGAGCGGCTTACAAACGCCTTTCCCTCCCCCTCCCCACAACAGACACCCTGTGAGGTGGGTGGGGCTGAGAGAACTCTTGACAGAAACTGCTCTTTTTTCAAGAACAGCTGTGCCAGAGTTATGGCTTGCCCAAGGTCATCCAGCCAGGTGCAAGTGGAGGAGTGAGGAATCAAACCCGGTTCTCCCAGATTAGAGTCCGCGCACGTAACCGCTACACCATACAAAAATGTGTGAGCTGGAGGCTAAAAAACTGTGAGCTAGCTCACACTGACTCAGCTTAGAGGGAACACTGGCTGTGACCCCACTGATGTCACCACCAATGACAACACCACCCACCCTTGAAATCCTCATTATTGAAGGCATGTGTGGAAGAAAACAAATGTATTTATTATTTATTAAATTAGATTTGCTAGGCCACCCTTCCCTACAAGTAGGGCTCAGGGCGGCTTACAACAGAACGATAACAATTAAACAACATTAAAACCATTAAAACAGATCGATGAATAAAAACACTCTATAACTGTGAAAATGCACAGGGAGGGCAGACATGCGGAACAACCATGCCCAGACTGATTCTAGTGCTTGTGGCTCCCAAGAAAATCAGGAGTCAGTCGAGAATGCAGAAAAGCCCATTGACTCCATGAAAGAAACATCCCTGCAGGGAGGAGCTGCATCTACGGATCCTTCTGTGGGACATTCATCAGTGCTCAAGGAGGACCTCTCAGAGGCAGCAGTCCTGGGTGCTGATTCTGCTAACTGAACATTAGACTAGAAGACAGGTGAGAGTTGAGGGGTGTTGGAAATGTTAAGACTTATCCAGCGATCTTTATGCAGAGCCTACTGGGAGTAATATTACCCCTTCCAGATACCCTTCCACTTTCATATATTATGGGTGCTCAGGCAAACACTGGGACAATATAAACACAATAAGAAGACAGCTTTAGAAATGGAAGAGAGTTGTTCCTGCTTGGTACCACATGTGGAGTTTAATTTGGTCTCATCAAGTGTCATCACCCTGAGCAATTTCAAGTTTGCCAGGATCCGATTTTTTCCCCTTAAAACCATTCTCTTCCCAGAAGTTAAGGAGGAATCAGAAGAAGCATCCAGAAAATGCCAAGCAAAATGAACCGCAACGTTTATTTTTTATTTTAACTACTTACCAATCCTTACCAGTGATTTATTACCCAGATAAAAGTTATCCTGAAATCCACTCGTAAAAATTACACAGAGCTGAAGCTGTCCCATCAAAAGCCTGGATGCCCAAAAGTCAAACAGCCATTAATTCAAAGGGTTTTACAGTCACATGTTAGTTCTTCAAGGTGCCTGAGATCGTTCTACAGTGGAGGCTACCACAGCTGCCAATCAAAAAAATAGGAGAGAGGAGGGCACAGTCCACTGCTCATCTGCATGTCTGGAGACAGCTCCTGCTTTCCCAAGGTGAACTGCAAACTGTACCTCCACGCAAATACCGTTGTGATGAATGAGAACTACGCTGTTCCATTCTGATCTGCAGGACAACTCTTTAATCTCAAGCATCTGATAACTTCTCTGAAGACTGCAGGACTATTACCTTCAGAAAAGGAGTTGGACCCTGCATTCTCCTCAAGAAATTCTGAAAATTGTGGACCTTTGAACATACAGACACATGACAACCTTGGATCTCAGAAAAACCAAGGGCAGATTATAGAAGAAAAGGGTGTTATCTTCCTGTTATCGTAACTGGTTAGGACAAAAGGCTAACTATCTTGTAGACTAGAGTTTCCCAAATGATAAAAGCCTGTCACTCAAAAACATAGATAAGAAATGGGGGGGGGGGCGGAATACTCTCTATCACAAATCCTGAAAAGTTTATAGAATGGGCTGATAATTTTCTATCCTTTCCAGAAGTGCTTCAGAATATCCAGGGGAATAGTACCTGGAAGAGAAACAAGCATGCCTTGATTAAAAACAAACCTCATCATGCAAAATATCAAAGCGGCAATCTAGCAGAGAACAAGGCCCACTTAAGCCCCGCACTGCTGGATTGTGGCCAACGACGGCATGCAGCACAGACTGACATATTTATGAGGAATAAATTAAAGAGGCTCAGAGACTGTCTGACATAATGATGTAATTATCCACCGATTAAGCCTTGAGGTCATGATTTCCAGGTGCCTGAGATGCCTCCGTACTTGTATCCTTAGACTGGAACAAAGTAAGGATTTTGGGCCAAGTTCTTAAAGTGGCAGGTGGGACATGGCAAGGGCCTTTGGGGTTGCAATGCCAGCTTCCAGGTGGGACCTGCAGATCCCCTGGAATTGCGGCTCAGAGTCCAGACTACAGAGATCAGGTCCCCTGGAGAAAAGGGATGCTTTGGAGGATGCACTCTGCGGCATTGGACCCCACTGAGGTTCCTGTCCTCTCCAGGCTCCATCCCCAAATCTCAAGGAATGTCCAAATCTGGATCTGGCAACCCTACCTCCCCCCCACACACACACACAGGTGGCCGGGGGGGAACTGGCAATGCTATTTGGGGCCCAGGTTTTATGTGTATCTTTATTTATTGAAGGCCTTTCTTTTCCCAACTCAAGACAGCTTCATCAACCCCTAGCAGTCAGTACGGGCAGTATGACACTCACTTGCATTGACTGAGAATGCCACAGCAATTGGAGCAGTTCTCCGCCCAGATTTTTTTTTAATGCTCCCGAGATCTTTCATGGTAAATTCAAGAAAACCAGGGGAAATATGATCCTCCTCCTTCATTTTTTCTGGTTGAAAAAATAATGCCATAACACCAAGCTGGTATTTGGTGCATTCTGATCCTCCTTTAGTGATTACAAAAGTTAGCATGATAGGTTCTCTTCCTGATTTCTCTATTTATCCAGTACTTATGAATATGAAAACTGTGTTCTGATTGGGTTTGATGTTTATAAAGATGTCATCTCTATGCTTGACCTGGAGGAGAACAGACTCAGTCTAGAAAGTTGTTTTCATGTTGTTAATACCTCTGCAGGAAAAACCTCGGAAATTGGATTGCATTAGATATTGATCAAATATTAGTTTTCCAATGCTTCCTGCATCTTTTTTCTGCTGTGTGATACAGCTGTCCTACTGGGTTGTAATTCTGTATTAGAGCCACAGACTCAGGCCATTGCAAAGCTGGCACTGAAAAAAACAGTTTACATGGGTACTGCACATCTGACGTTTTCCCCCAACCCTGGTCATTGTAGTTAAGATTTATCTTAAGTACACAATAGGTGCCCTGCTAGATCAGGACAGTGGTCTCTCTAGCCCAGCATCCTTTATCACAGTGGCCAATCAGTTGCCCCACAGGGCCAAAAAACAGGGCATAGAGGCCAAGGACATCCCCTGATGTTGTTGATATCCAGGGCTTACTGCCTCTAGGTATGGAGGTCTTTAACAAGATCCTCCCTCATTTGTCTGTAATTAAATAGACATTTAAATAGATAATTGCTGTAAACCTTCCCCCCAAACCCCCAAAGTTATACTCTAGCATCCTTAGTGCTTTGGTTACAGATGATGGGGGGGGGGAAGCATACATGCTTAAAAATTTCACCCCTACAAGATTTGCTTAATACTGATCGGTTCCCTTAAAGACTTTACTTGGGACAGTTTTACTGCTGTCTATTGCCTCTTGGATAGGCAATAAAAGTATAACAATGGGCCCTAGTGTTCCTTAGATACAGGCACAAAAGTCAAATGTAAAGCTGGCATGACTGTTCAAAGAAAAAAGATTTTAAAAAAGAATCAGACAGGGAGGACCTCTATGGACAGAACCAGAAGGGAACTCCGTTTCGATGGCTGCATTCAGACACCGCTACAGAGATTTGTCCATGACAGGTGCAACCAGCGATCGCTGCTGCCCTGGTGCGTTCTGCTGGCTCCTCCCTCATCCCCTCCTGCACACCGCGTGGCTGAAGGCCTCTGGGGAAGCCTCAAATCTGTTTACAGGTCTAGTTAGTGAGTGGGGGAAACTCCAAATTCACTCTGGCACCTGCCTTTGGATGCTGCAGTGAATTAGAGCTTGGTTCCAGGTTTCCCAGGCCCAGGAGACTTCAATTGCATTTGACATCCAAGAGGGAGAGTGTTCAAGCACAGCAACAAGCAGAGTTTGTGCCCATCATGGACAACTCTCTGATTCTCCATGATGTCTGAATGCAGCCATGGCACCAAACCGTTGCTTTGTGCTCCTCCTGTTTCAGAGCCAAAGGCAAACCACAGTTTAGACCTGCTTGCCTGCTTCTATTTTCCATCTGCTCAGCCCTCCAGTCTGTAAAGCAATGGCTTGCCTATTTAAACAAGAGGCCGAACCAGAGTTAGCACAAACAAGCGGTTTGCAAACCCATTTCAAAACCAGGTTTTCTGTTTTGCGGTATTGAGCCACTCCTTGTCAATGGAGACATCACGCTAAAACATGTTTTCATTTCTTTCTTTCTTTCTTTCTTTCTTTCTTTCTTTCTTTCTTTCTTTCTTTCTTTCTTTCTTTCTTTCGCTTGATTTGATGACTAATTGATCCTTAATGTTGCCAAACCACCCTTTCACCTTTGGTTTCTATCACATTTAATATGTAGATCTGTTTATGATAAACACACAACTCTTATAACTCGTGGGCACTCAATGAAATTGCTGAGCAGTCGGGTTAGGGCTGCCAAATCCCCCCGGGGGGCGGATTTCCCCCCGCTTTGGAGATCCGATTTCCGCCCCCGCGGAATCGGCCCCCGCGGGAAACCCCACCCCCACGTGCACGTCACAGGAAAGTGACGTTGTGACACCGGGCACACTGGGGGCGGGGCACAGCCATTTGAGGGGAAAACTCCATGTTTTCCCCTCAAATGGCTGTGCCCCGCCCCCAGCGTCATGACGTCACTTCCCTGTGACGTGCATGCTGCCGGGAGCCAGCACAAAGTCCCCCGCCGGCAGAGGTAAGTCGATTTGGCAACCCTAAGTCGGTTTAGAATGGATAAAAGGAAGTACTTCTTCACCAAAAGAGTGATTAACACATGGAATTCACTGCCTCAGGAAGTGGTGGCGGCTACAAGCATGGACGGCTTCAAAACGTAATTAGATATGCATATATGTTAGCTATGCTGCCATGATGTTTATGGGCGAGAGTGCAGCTGCTTGACCTGTGTACCAACTGGTGCTGCATTCCTTTGTCCTTGCTTATCTATGACCTTGCTAGTTTGCTGTCTGTGTAGTGTCTCCCCATCTATTACCCGTGGGATAGGTTTCAATTCCCAGCTTTGGCTGTAATGGCCTGGGGCCCCATTCTCCTGCGTGCAGGAGTCAGGCCGATTGGCCTAGGAGTGTGCGTGGGGGGTTGCGTACGAATACCCTATATTCTTTTATGCTTGTAGGAAAGTAGCCATTCCTAACAGTGACCATAGCTCCATAGCTCTTGCAATAAAGTATAACCTTTTGTTAAGCGTGTACTCCTTTGTTTGGCTGTGGAACCTGACATTCTCTCAGAGGTCCATTAGTGGCTATTAGCCACAAGGTATAGATAGGGGCTCTGGGGCAAGTGATGCTCTGTCTTCTTGAAAAAAAGGCAAGTGGTTGTCTGTTTTCTTGGGTCTGGGGGGGGGGGGTCAACAGTGGGAGGGCTTCTAATGTCCTGGCCCCACTGGTGGACCTCCTGATGGCACCTGGCATTTTTGCCCACTGTGTGACAGAGTGTAGGACTGGATGGGTCTTTGGCCTGATCCAACATTGGCGTCTCTTATGTTCTTATGTTCTTAAATACACAGAGAGAGATATTCATTTTCCTAGATAAACATAAAAAGTGTTTGTGGCTGCAGAGATGAACAACAGACTTAACTTTACCTTCCAAGGGAAACTGTAAGCAGTTAGAAATACAAAACGGACAAACTGTTCTGTCATTAGACCAACATCTGTTGATGTGACAACATGCAAACACCTGAGTAACAGAATGCAACTTCACCAACATGGTTTGAGGGCCAGGTAAATAAAAAGCTTGCAGGGGTTTACCTGCTCTACTAGCAAATTGGTCATCTGAAATTTCTCACTATGGCTACAATTGGTGGGGCTTACTTCAGAGTAAACACAGGACAAGCTAATAGCTTGTAGCTGAAGCATCATGCATTCCACTGGACAAAATGGAGGCACGTTGAACCCAAGTAATCTCACTGTCTTTCTACCAAGTTGGTATAATAAAGTCTCTCTGACATTAGCCCAAGACTGTGTCTGTCACTGGTAGCAGCAAAGTTTAAGCACATTTTATTTTATTTCCTGGCCAGGTTCCTCTCTGGAGAAACCAAAACCACTCTGCTAAACTCTTCTGTTTTAGCTGGAGTGAGCTATAACTGACTTTGGGGGAAGCCAGTGACCAGCAGAGGGAGTGCGACTGCATGACATCTTTGTGATCTGGACACTACTGAGTGTTGACCAACTTCTGACGTGTTGGGGAGGGAACTGACATCAGCATATAGTTACAAGGGAATCAATTCATCTTTATACACCAGAAAGGAAGAAAGAGGAAGCATTAAGAAGGCTGAGGTTTGTTCCTACTCAAAACATTAGCAGTGCAGTCCTAAACAGAGTTGCACCCTCCTAAACCCACCATTTAGGATATGACTCTGCTTAGGAGAACAGTGTAGAACTCAAGAGAACAAACTGGGGATGAGGCCATAGAGCCAGGAATCCAAAGGGAAGGGACTTTAGCCGTGTCTTTTCTGTCCTGCCCCTATCCTTGATCGGCCACTGTGGGCCAGATAAAACCATCATGGTAGGTGCATGGTACCCATGGGCCACCAGTTTCCCACTCTGGTCTAGGAAAATGAGAATTGTGAAGGACCTTTCTCTCTTTAGTTTTAGGGCTAAAGGCCTCGGATTTCCAATCATTCCCACAGCAGATTCACAAGGGGCCAAACATCTCCTCAATGCTGTGGTTGGATATTTGCAACTCTGTTATGATAAGAGGAAAATAATTATATTTATTTGTTTCAATATTCCCTATGGCTGCCCAGCACCTTACAATACATACATAAAACAACAACACTCCAAATTTCCCTGTAGGAAAATGGAATTGTTTAGGGAAAGGTTTTTACAAGGGGACAAGGATTGTCATTTAGGGCACTATTTACTGCATCGATTTCTTGTTTTCACTGCATTGTTTTCTAATTTCTGTAATTCAGCTTTTGCATTTCTCATCTCAAGCCCTGACTGTTTTTATGGCATTGTTTTCTGACTTGGTCATTCAATCTTACTACACTGTTTATTATATGGCTTATACTGTTCCTACCGCATTGTGAGATTTTGTAATTTGCCTTGAGTCTCAGTGAGAAAGGCAGATTATAAAGTAAATATTTTTTTTTAATAAAACACCTGCAATCTACCCTCCGTTTAAAGCTTGGGTGAATAAAGAAGCTTTATGGGGCCTCCTAAAAGATGCCAAGGATGGAGCCAGTTCCACAAAGTGGCAGCCGCAAAAGAGAAACCGGGAGTCCTTATCGATGCCAGGTGGGCCATCCACAAAGAAGGAACAATATTTCTACCTCCTTGGCACATATTAATGCCTCAGTCCCTGAGTCTCAAGCCTACATCACAGTTCAGAATGAGCACATACAGCCCATGTAGCCTTTGTGGTTCAGTGGGAAATATATACAGATAGCCCGGCGATGGCAAACACCTCTGAACATCTCTTGTCCAAAAACCCTATGGGGTCACGATAAGTCATAATAAGCAAAAATAAATGTGAATGCTTTTTTTCAATATATGCATACTGTCCGACTGACACTATTATGAGGACCGTGCTACAGGTAAAATGCTTAGAAACAAAGGCCCCAAGCTTTCCTCTGTGGATCCACAGCCACACCAGGACCGTGTCCTGAGCATGATGTAAGTAGATGAACCACGTCGATGCTCGGGGTGAGGGCACTCCCTCCATCCCTTTTGCAGCTGGGCCTGGTCTATGCAAGCAACAAGGGTGAGGTGGTAGAATGGACTGCACCACTTCAGACTGCGGGTGGGATACCATTTTGGAATGTCCTTCAGACAGACAAGCAGCGTATCAGGGAGCAAGATTACAGCTTATCCATTTGCCTGTGATGCTGGATTTCTGTTTGCAGGGATTTTTTTAATGTGGGGGAGCATTCCAAATAGTAGAGTGGGAAAAAGTGCAGAGGAGGGCAACCAAAATGATTGGGGGTTGGACCACCCTATGAAGAAAGGCTGAAGAGTCTGGGATTTTTCAGCTTAGAAAGGAGATGATGGGGGTGGGGATGATAGAGGTTTATAAAATTATGCACGGGGTGGAGAGAGTTGACAAATGGAAATTTTTCTCCCTCTCACAAAATATTAGAACTTGAGGGCATCCAATGAAGTTGATGGGCACTAGGTACAGGATGGGCAAAAGGAAATACTACTTTACACAGAGGGTGATTAAAATGTAGAATTCACTGTCAGCAGATATAGTGATGGCCACAGGAATAAACGGCTTTAAAAGGGGATTAGATAGGTTCATGGAGGATAAGTCTTATCAATGGCTACTAGCCATGGTGACTGAGGGGAACCTCCACATTCAGAGGCACTA